GGGCCCCGCTCCTCAGTGTGCCCCCAGAGAAAAGCAGTCAATCACTCCCGTCTACCCGGTCTCCGGCCACACTCCGTGCTCACCCGGCCTGGGCCGGGCGTTTCTGTCTCTGGCACCCGACCCCGTGTGGAGTCTCCAAACCCAGCAGATCCCTGCGGTGCGCTCCCGTGCCGCTCCGGGAGTCTCCCTGGATCTGCCACTTGTGTCCCTGCTGGAGGAGCAGTGGCTCAACTGTTTCACTGATCAGTTTATGGCAACCCCGAGCTGAGAGCCCGCGCCTCGGCTCCGTCTCTGCAGCCGGCTTCCCCGCTCCGATACCTGGGAGCTCTGCCGCACTCAGGTACCCCCGGTCTTTCTGTGACCCCGAGGGTCCTGAGACCACACTGTCCCACGAGGGTTCCACCCCCCACTTAGCCACTGGAGCGACGTCCCTCCGCGGAGCCGACTTCTAAAAGTTCCGATTTTGTGCTCCACGGCTCTGTCACTTTCCAGAAGCGGCCGACAGAGGCCCCCTCCTCCACCGTCTATCCTCCCGAAAATCGCCTCGGATTCACTTCTCTGCACGTCCTACCTTCCAGAAAGTGGTTGCTTTTCTGTTCAGAGAGTTGTTGCTATTCTTCTCTTCGATCTCCTGTTGAGTTCGTAGGTGTTCAGAATGGTTTGATCCCTACCCAGCTGAATTCCTGAGACCAGATGAAATCCAGGTCTCCTACTTCTCTGCCATCTTGCTCCGTCCCCTTCTAAAGTTAAGGAATTTAATGAGCATAAATTAAGGGTGAATTAGGGTGCCTGGGTGGCTCAGTTGGTTAAGCGACTACCTTCAGCTCAGGTCATGGTCCCGGAGTCCTGGGATCGAGTCCCACATCAGGCTCCCGGCTCAGCGGGGAGTCTGCTTCTCCCTCTGACCTTCTCCCCTCTCGTGCTGTTTCTCTCTCTCTCTCTCAAATAAATAAATAAAATCTTTAAAAAAAATTAAGGGTGAATTAATTTAATGCTCAGACGCCTGTTGGTTTACAACCTGATATGAACATGCTTTGATAATGTGAACAAGATTCATATTTTCATAAATTGATGTTATATTCACTTTGTAGACCATTTCCAACTTTTAAAAATATTTCTCAGTTGTAATCTCTCTTGAAGCTTTCTTTATGTATAATCTATCTATTGTCTCTCTTCACTTGCATTGAGGTATAATTATAAAGTCATGAGATAGTAAAGTATGCAGGATGATGAGTTGATATTTTTATACATTATCGACAGCTTCCCCTCACCCACTGCCCCACTGAGTTAGCATATCTGTCACCTCACAATGACGGCATTGTCAACTGTAGTCACCACAGTATGTAATAGATACTCAGACCTTACTCAGTTTATAACTGACAGTTTGTATCCTTTTACCAATGTCTCCCTGTTTTCCTCACCCCTGAGCTCCTGGTAAGTGCCTTTTTACTCTCTGATTCTATGAGTTCAACTTAAAATTTTCTTTTTTAAGATTTCCCATATAAGTGATATGATGCAGTATTTGTGTATCTCTGTGTGGCTTTTTTCATTAGCATAAGGCCCTCTAGCTTCATCCATGGGTTTGCAGATGGCAGAATTTCCTTCTTTCCCATGGCTGAGTAATATTCCATTGCGTGTGTGTGTGTATCTGTGCTGTATATCACACATGCATCACATACATATCTCATATTTTCTCTATCCATTCATCCGTCAGTGGACACCTAGGTTGTTTTCATATCTTGGTTATTGTGAACTTAGGAGCACAGGCACCTCTTAGATAATGATTTTGTTCCTCTGGATATGAACCCAGAAGTGGGATTGCTGGATCACATGGTATTTCCAGTTTTAACTTCCTGAGGAACCTCCATACTGTTTTCCACACTGGCTGTTACATTCCCACTAACAATGTTCAAGGGTTCCCTTTCTACATATTCTTGCCAGCATTTGTTATCTTTTGTCTTTTTTTTTAAGATTTGTTTATTTTAGAATGAGAGAGAGAGAGCACAGAGGGGAGGAGCAGAGGCAGAGGGAGAAGCAGACTCCCTGCTTGAGTGTGGAGCCCGACACAGGGCTTGATCCCAGGGCCCTGAGATCACAACCCGAGCTGAAGGCAGACGCTTAAACGACCAAGGCGTGCAGGCACCCTGGCTAATAAAACGAAGAATAAAGTTGGAAGAGTTACATGCTGCCTGACTTTACAACTTAGCACAGTAGTCAAGACAGTGCAGTATCAGTGGGCAGACACATAAGTCAGTGGAATGAGATGGAGAAGTAGATGCCTAAAACTATACTCAATTGATTTTAACAGGGGAGCAAAGTCAGTTTAATGGAGAAAAGGTAGTCTTTTCCTTAGAAGATATTGGCAGTTAGTTGGCCATCCATATGTGAAATAAAAAAAAGAAGAAAGAAGAAAAGAACTTCATTTTTAAGCCTCATACCTTCTACAAAAATGTTAATTCAAAATTGATTCTAGATCTAATAACGTAGACTATAAAACTATAAAACTTTCAGAAGAAATCTTGGGAGAAAATCTTCATGGGTTAGGCAAAGAGTTTTTTTAGTTGATTCTTAAAGCATGATCCATTAAAGAAAAAGTTGATATGCCAGACTATCAAAATTAAAAATGCTCTGTAAAACAAAATGAAAAGCCATGGTAAGATTAGGAGAAATTATTTGCAAATCACATATCTAATGTGTATCCTGAATATACAAAGAACTCTCAAAATTCAGCAGGAAGAAAGTAAACAACCTAAGTGAAAAATGGGCAAAAGACTTGAATAGAGACTTTATACCAAAGTATATATAGATGGATGAGAAATAAGCATGTGAAAAGACATTAAACAGGGACATACAAACTAAAACTGTAACGAGGTACCACTACACGCCTATTGAAATGGCCAAAATTGTAGTAACACCACGTGCCATGGACAGCTAAAACTCAGTAGTGACACAGCCACCCTGGAAGACCGTTTGGCAGTTTCCTGTAGGGTTACAGCTACACTTCCTCTACGACCCCGTAGTTATACTTCAAGGTATGGACACTGGAGAAACAAGCTGTGTTCACACAAAAACCTGTATGTGAGTGTTTATACCAGCTCCAATTATAATTGCCAAAAAACTGGAAACAACCCAAGTGTCCTTCAACAGGTGATTGGATGAGCAGCTGTGGTACATCCACACAGTGGGGTACTACTGGGCAATAAAGAATGAATTACTGGGGCACCTGGGTGGCTCATTTGGTTAAGGGGCTGCCTTCGGCTCAGGTCATGATCCCAGAGTCCTGGGATCGAGCCCCACGTTGGGCTCCCTGCTCAGTGGAGAGCCTGCTTCTCCCTCTGCTTGCCTCTCTGCCTACATGTGCTCTCTCTCTCTCTCTCTGTCAAATAAATAAAATCTTAAAAAAAAAAAAAAGAATGAACTACTGATACAGAAATATCATGGACAAACCCCAGAGACATTATAGTGGCATTATTAAAGTCACATAGAGTAATTAAAACAGTGTGATACTGTAACAAGGAGAGACGCAGAACAGGATAGAAAGCATAGGACAGAACCTTCTAGCCTATGAAAAAGTTAATATTATGAGTGAAAGAAGCCAGTCTCAAAAGAGTGTGTACTATATGATTCTGTTTATGTGACATTCTCAAAAAGACAAAGCCACAGGGAGGCCAGTTAGTGGTTTCCAGAGGTTGGAGGTGGTGGGAGGAGGTGACCACAAAGGATATCACGAGGAGTGTTTTGGGGTAATGGCACTGTTCCGTATCCTGATTGTGGTTGTGTTACACAGATCCAAAGAAGTGTTAAAATTTGTAGACTGACTTACTATTGGTAATTTAACAAAATAAAATTAAAAATTATCTGTATGTAATTTTCACATGTGTGCATGTGTGTGTACGTGAAGAAGAGTCCTTGAGGATAAGCTGCCAAGCAAACAATGGTTCCTTTTGGATGCTGGGTTTACTCATGACTTTGATTTTTGTTTGTGCTTTTCTGAGTTTTCTAAATTTTTCCATACTAAACATAAACTACTTCTGTAATAAAAACCGCCTGAAGTTACTTAAGAAAAAGCCCTTCTGGTCTTCCCTGCACGCTCCCTGCACACTCCCTGCACACTCCCTGGTTCAGACACAAAGGCTGGCTTCTTGGGGCCGCTACCAGCCCCCGCTCCCCATCTCAGGCATCACATGCCACCTGTCCGCTGCGTTCTGAGGCTGTGAGGTGGCATTAAGCTGCTCTTATGGCTTAAGTACCACATGAACCTCTGTGGCACGCCTGCTTTAATGTTTCATGTTTTTAAGAAGTGATTTCAGTCAACTTACAGGGTTATGAAAATTCTGAGAATACCCCAGAGGCCAGATTTATATGGTTTGACAGTGAAAACTCCGCAGTGCTTCGGGGCTGTTAAAAATGCAGTTGCAGCTGACTTGGGCTGAGAGAGATGGTGAGAGGGAAGGTCTCTCCTGTCGGCCGGGCCCAGTTGTGAACCCAGTGCAGTGTGAGCTGGTGTGACTCCACCCCAGGCTGGGGTGGGGACCAGCGACGCCACTGGTGTGAGTACAAGGTAAGTCCTCCCAGACCGTCTGTCACAGGCACGGGCCTCAGTCACCATGTCCCCTGTGTGTCTCCCTCCTGTGCAGTTTGAGTTCATGATTGAGTCGATCCTGTACGCCCGGGATGTGTGGCTGAAGGAGGATGGGGTCATCTGGCCGACCACGGCCGCGCTGCACCTGGTGCCCTGCAGCGCAGACAGAGACTACCGCAGCAAGGTGCTCTTCTGGGACAACGCCTACGAGTTCAACCTCAGCGCCCTCAAGTGAGTGCAGCGGGGTGTGCGCCCGCGTGTTCCTGGCCGCCTGGCTGGGTGCGCCACAGGCAGGCTAGACACAGAGTGACTACTCTGTTGTAGGGCCTGCCACGACATGGATCTGAATTCATTCACAGGCCTAAGAACTTCGCAGGTTGACTTTCATGCCTTCAAACTGGTAACGTGATGGGAAATGACAAGGCTTTTGCAGTCTAAGTTCTCAGATATAATGGGGAAAATGTGGTCATGGTTAGAAACAAGGCCTTTCTAAATATGTGGTCTGTTAAGACACAAATACGTGTTTGTACTAAGAGCTATTCATTTTTAAAGGATCAGAAAATGTATTTGTGAAGTCGTTCCTGGCAGTTTACAAAGGAAGCAATGCTCCAGCACAGCATAATTGCTGTGCTCATTTTAACACATGGACACGCTTGTACAGTTGGGCTTCAGGCTGTAATATAAAATGATGAGCTGATAAGGCCTTCGTGTTTTCGGTGTTGCCTTTTGTAAGGAGATGGTGACAGAAGCTAGCATGCCCCGATTGTTTGGAGGCACCAGTGTCAGCCCTGGAAAGTAGGGGAGGGTCCCAGTGGTCAGGATCTGCAGGAAGCCTCGCTTATGCAGTGAGGGCCAGGTGAGCCTGGATGCCTGCTGGATGCCCAGATGGGGGGCTCTGGGCCTTTGTGGTTTCTATTAAACATTCAAAAGACGAGATGATAATGCAAAGGTAAGAAATCTTCCCCAGTTAACCTGTTGAAGCATTGCACTCTCAACCCGAGCCCCAGAGGGGATGGAGAGGAGAGGTCCCCGGCAGAGCTGTTCTGTTGTTCGTCCAGGGGAAAGTGGGCAGGCAGGGCTGGGAGGGTTTACAGTAGAGCAGCGAGGAGGTTCCGATGTGGCCGGGTGTAATGTCTAAGCTGGAGGCCCTGGGATGAAGGCAGAGTGGTCCTGAGACCAGAAAGGACAGAGCAGCGGACGGGGTGGACACGCACAGGACGTGCATGTGAGAGGTGGGGCGTGAGGCGCACAGGGGCCGCGTGTTCTGGGCCATTGGTGAGCCCCTCGAAACCTCTTCCTCCTCTCATACTGTACATTGAAATTTAAGTTCACATGGGCTTAAGAGTTTTGTGTTAAAACATCTGCATCAGGTACAGGAATCCATGGGGGCCTATGTGTCAGGCTTTAGATGGGAAGTCAACAGAAAGAAAGAGGCAGCCCTGGACTTCAGTCTGTAAAAATTGGCGTCTGTGTGTCAGCAGCATCCATACAATTCAAAAAGGCGGCGACTACTTAGAAAAGTTGCTAACCGACAGATCCTAGAGTCAGAAAAAGATGTATGTGCAGTGAAATTATAGCCAAGTCACAGGAATAAGCAAGTCACAAAAACTAAAAAAAGTCACCAGTTAATATTTGAAAGAAATTGCAGCATCATTAGTGATTGAAATGCAAATTAAAATAAATGCCATTTTTGCCTACCAGACGAACAAAGATTAGACAGCAGTTGGTGCTGTCTGAGCTTCAGGTGAGATGGGACGAGCCCGTGTGCCCAGAGCTGTGGGTGTGGGGGGCCCTGCAGGCTGGTGTCCGGCGTCCACCCCCGTCCCCGTGTGTCCCGATGCCACGGCGTGCTCCAGTACACACGACGCGGGGAAGAGACAGCGTTCCGAAGGAACGTGTCTGGGTCACTCTATGTCCACCCGATGGATTAAGAGACGGTGAAAGTGGTAGGACACAGACCATGTCTACAGAATGGCTTCTACTTTGCATAAAAACATATATGAATATATGTCCGGGGGAGAAGATGACTGAATATATCAAGGGCATGGGAGATTCAAGTTTTTTCTTTGTACTTTTCTGTATTTTCCCAGTTCCTTATATGTACATAATTATTTTTATCAGAAAACATTAAAAATATGTCCATATCATGGCATCTTTATTTAAAATGTTGACTTTTAATTGCTATTTCAGAAGTTAGCGCTGTGCTTAATTTTGGAAGCATTTCTGTGGTAAATGGTAGGTGACTTTGGGCAAGCACAGCGTTCAGCAGTGGAACGGACGGGGGTTAGACGGGGTGACGGCAGGACAACTGTGCAGGGCTCAGCGCCTGTATATGCAGGGGCTCCTCCTCAGAGTTGGGCGCTAGGGGGGCCCGCAGGCTTGCTGGTTCAGTACGTTTCTTCCCCGGTCATCCAGAACAGGAGTATCTTATTTGCTGTGACAACCTTCGGTCCGGTCCTCACCTTCTTACTCTGTGAGGTGATGAAGTGTCCACGTAATGAGGTGAAGGCAGGCGAGGGACCCGTGGGAGGCTCCCGTGGACCTTCTGTCTACATGTCAGGAGGAGGGCCTCGGAGTGGGTCCGGGCACTGCCCATGTGGGAAGGGCTGGTTTCTGGGTGTTCAGGCCCCGTGAGGAGGATGGAGGTGGGAGCCCCCCAGCCCTGCCTTGGTGCCCTCGTGCTGCAGGCCGTGGCTTGGAATCCCTGCTAATGCTGGAGGGAAGGAGCGAGTGCTGTGGTTGTGCGTGTGTGTGTCACGGCCTGAGATGTTGGTACGCGCCTCAGAGCAGTGCCTTTGACTCTTTCCCTAGATCTTTAGCAATTAAGGAGTTTTTTTCGAAGCCCAAGTATAACCACATTTTGAAACCAGAAGACTGTCTCTCTGAACCATGCACCATATTACAGCTGGACATGAGAACCGTGCAGATTGCTGACCTAGAGGTGAGAGAAGATGCGCGCTTTCCTTTCACATTAAGTAAGCGGCACACACACGCCGAGACTTCCGTGTGAATGTTATGAACTTGCCTGTGATTTTCCCAGAGTCTTTTCTTTTTTATGCTCTGATTTTGTATTTTATATTTTACATTATTTTCTTTATTGCTAACCTCTTTAACATCATCAGTTCTTCTTAGATATATGTTTAATATTTTCAGCATCTTCAGATTCTAATAAATTATATCCAGTTTCTTCAAGGACTTTCAATTAAAATTTTTTTCACTACTGTTGATGACAGAATTCTTAATTCTTACTTTTACTTACCCCCTGTTGCCACGAGGTGGCGTGTGTGGATTCCGGAGGATCTCATTTTAAGGGTGTGCTGGGAGGTGCAGGTGCAGGAGAGTGTGGGGGTCACTGGAAGCCCCTGCTGGGGCTCAAATGGGCAGAACAACATGGGGACTGAGCTCTTGACTCTGCACTTAGTTTTGCAGAATAGAGACCCAGCCTGGAACTTTACTGATGCAAGGAATTGAGAAGAAATAGTATTCCACTCAAATTTGGGCAAATGCCCAAATTGCTTGAAACCTTTTCTGATTATCTGCAGCATTTGAATTTATGATGCCAGTTTTAATACTTTCTGGAGGAAGAAATTTTATGTGGTGTTTGCTGTGTTCAACTAAACTAGCAAGTTGCAGTCGTAATTACTGAACCAGACGGTAGGGCTGCTGAGTGCAGTGCAGGGAGGTGGGATCTGTGAGGTGGGGCCAGGCGGAGGACAGTTGCTAGTTCTTGCTCAGGGAGACCCTTGCGGCCTGGCATCACGTGCTTGCGGAAACCATGTCCCTTTCTTATCGTTTGCTTGAACAGACAATGAAAGGTGAGCTGCACTTTGAGATCAGGAAAGCCGGCACTCTGCATGGATTCACAGCCTGGTTCAGTGTCCGGTTTCAGAGCCTGGAGGAGGATGAGCCCCAGCTGGTGCTGAGCACGGGCCCATTGCACCCGTGAGTGTGCGCCTCCCGTGGGGGCTCCGCACAGCAGCCCTGGAGGAGCGGATGCGGTTGGCCTGCCTGCGAGTTGTCAACATGGCAGCCGTGTGCAGAGATCTGGCAGTGCTGGCTCGTTGGCCTGGGTTCTGCAGACCAGGCTGCCCCGGGCCTTGAGCAGGGTGTGCGGGCAGAGGGCGGGCGAGCCCGGGGCTGTGCCCCACCCGCCCCTGCACTGGGCTTCCCTGAGCTGCCCTCTGACCCCTGCATACATAGGAGGAGCAGACTTGGGCTTCCTCAGTTGCCCTGGACGCTGCTTTAGCTTTCTATGGTCTCATACAAACACAGTCTACAGAGTTCTAGGGGCTTTTAACTCAGACTTTCTGGGGGAAGGTCAGTGCTTCTTGAGACAAATCTCTTAAAAAAAGATTTTATCTATTTGTCAGAGAGAGCACGAGCAGGGGGAGGGGGCAGAGGGAGAAGTAGGCTCCCTGCTGAGCAGGGAGCCCGACGTGGGGCTTGAACCCAGGACCCTGGGACCATGACCTGAGCTGAAGGCAGACGCTTCACTGACTGAGCCACCCAGGTGTCCCTTGAGACAAATTTTTTATGCAGTAACATTTTGATGCTGCTTACTTGCTTGAGCATCCTGGGAAGCTGACGTCTGCTTCTGTGCTGGACACAGCAGCCCCCCTGGAAACGCTGCCTTCCTCTGGGGCCTTTGTTGTCCTGTTCAGTAACTGCCCTGGACCAGGGAGGGTTGCAGCAGCGTCTGGGTTAGATGCTGGCTGTGGCAGTGGGCCCAGAAGGACCCCAGACGTCCTTCGGTAAAGCGGGGGCAGAGCCGAGGGGCTGTGTGCTCCGAGTGTCCTGTGGAGGTGGCAGGGCTGGGGCTCTGGCCAGCCTTCCTTCCAGATCCAGCCAGCACAGATGTGAGCTGTCACCAGATGAGGGTAGGAACACGAGAAACCCAGTGGACAGTCGTGTGCCTGGGTAGTCTTCCCCCAGTGTGTCCACACACAGGTGGGGTGGGGCAAGCAGGGTGCAGACATGGGACAAGCACTCTGTGAAGGCAGAGAGAGACTCTCACAGTGGGTGAGGCAGGAGGGAGGGTAAGCCGGTGAGCGTGACCGTGGGGTGCACGCAGGTGTCGGGCAGAGGCAGTTGTGCCATGCTCTCAGAGCCGGTAGAACCTAAGGAGCTTGGGAGTTGTGACCATTTCTCCCAAATGTTACAGTTGTCATGCTTACCTTCCGCCTGACTCTCACAGGAATAATCACTTTTCTGGACTGCAGAGACTAGATCTCGGGCATTGGCAGCTTAGAGACCAAGCAGGGAACTTTGGGTAGATGCCCACTGTGCCAGGGTGCAAGGGGCCTGTGCCCGGCCATGTGTCCTCTGAGCCACCAGCACCAGCTGCCCTCACCCTCCCAGAATCTGGGCAGCGTCCAGGAGCTGCGTCCACCCTGGGTTGTAACTCAGTCCCTGCAACCCACAGAGGCCGTCCGGGTCGTAGGGCTGGGGTGCGTCTGTCCCGCGTGCGGGTAAGCCTGAAGAGTCCGGCTCCAGAGAGGTGACCCCATGCCCTGTGTCTTGCAGCACCACCCACTGGAAGCAGGTGCTGTTCATGATGGACGAGCCTGTCTCCGTCCTCACGGGAGATGTGGTCACAGGCTCGGTTGTGTTGCAGAGAAACCCCGTGTGGAGGAGGCACATGTCTGTGGCGCTGAGCTGGTCCGTCACTTCCACACAAGACCCCACATCGCAGAAAGTAAGATACTTAGCTGTCAAGTCAGGTGCTGGGGCGCCGGTCCTGGGAGACGGGTCTGGGGTGATCACACGGCCAGACCACACGGCCTCCTCTGCTGTGTTATTTTTCTGACCCTCCTGATGGGAAGTGAACGCTGTCACTTGCAGAACAGGAATCAGAGGGCGAGGAGGTGAGTCTGTGAGGGCAGAGGCCCAGCCCAGCCAAGGTCCACCCTTTGCGTGTCCAGGAGGCCCCGGTGCAGAGCCGGGGCTGGGGGCCGACCCACTGCCGGTGGTGCGTGATGTAGGCGTGTGGTGTGGGTCACCTTCCCACCGTGGCAGCGGTTCGAGGGTGAAACTGTGGTGAAACTGTGGCCAGGTGGGGCCCGGGGCCTGTGTCTCACAGAGGCTGCTGAGCAGGGGAGTCTCATGGGTTAGTGTAGGGCAGAAAAAATCAGAGGGCTTCTCCTTATGTTGTTTTTTTTTTAAAGGTTTTATTTATTTATTTATTTGACAGAAAGAGAGAGAGAGCACAAGTAGGCAGAGAGGCCGGCAGAGGGAGAGGGAGAAGCAGATGCTCCACTGAGCAGGGAGCCCGACGCGGGGCTCAATCCCAGGACCCTGGGATCATGACCTGAGCCGAAGGCAGCCGCTTAACCGACTGAGCCACCCAGGCGCCCCCCCTCCTTATGTTTTAATACCTCTTTTATACTTTGTTTTATGCTAATTTTATAAGTTTCAGTGTTTGTCATTAAAAAAATTTCTGCACCTAAATGTTCTTTTGTAAAATATTAAGTTGTTATTAGGAAGTACTGCATGTTAATCATACTGAAATGATTTCTGATTTGATTGCTTTGTTTTCTTTGTCTTTTTCAGGGTGGAGAAAAAGTCTTTCCCATCTGGAGATGACAGTTGAAGTTCTGTGGGAAGCAGTGTGCAGACACTGCTGGAATGAACCCGCGCGAACGAAGACGCACTGGGACAGGGGCCCACCTTCTCGCTGCCCGCGTCTGTGGGCTCGGGCCCGTGGTCAGGGTCGTCCACCGACGGCTGCGCTGCGCTGGGCGGGAGCCCCCCCACCGCCGTCACTGCCTGTGTCCGTCCTCTAGAAGTAGGCTGTGTCTCCAGGTGTCCACAGTGCTGGCTTGTGGGTGAGTCGGTGGCACAGTGTCCCTAGCTAGGTCTAGTTCTAAACTCGTAGGACACACACGCATCAACCTCGTACTCCTGTGAAAGTGGCTGTTCATGCATCACGTGTCATGGTGTCCTTGCTGCCCTGGTTCCTCCCGCGCCGTGCGGAGTGTGGGGTCCCAGCAAGCCGTGCGGGACCTGCAGCTGGAAACGCATGTGACGGGACTCTGCATGTAGTACAGTTGTAGAGATGTCTTCCAGATAAATTATGTGTCGGCGCATAGCACATGCCCAATAAATATTTTTAAATAAATGAATGTTGGTGTGTATCCCATTTCTGTGCACACACGCTCTGTTACAAGCATGGGGTCGCACTGTTGGCACTGCTTCGTAACCTGTCTCCTCTAGCCTGGAGGGATGGGTCTGCAGTTTTTTGTGTGTATTGTTTTGATTTTTAGTTAACTTTTTATTGAAATATAAGATATATAGCCCAAACCGCATAAGTCATGAGTGCACAGATGGGTGAAATTTCACAGAGTGGACATCCGTGTAACAGCGCCCCTTGCACTCAGTACCTCCCAAGGGTTGGTAATGCCGAACTTCTGACACTATAGATTGCCTTTGCCTGGTTTTGAGCATTGTGTGAGTGGAGTTACAAGTTGTCTGTTTTCTATAGACTGTTTGTGTCCTCCCAAAATTCCCAGGTTGAAAACGACCCCCCAAGGTGATGCTATGAGGAGGTGGGGACTTTGGGAGGTGGTTAGGCCATGGGGGGGGGCCCTGCCACCCATGATGGGATTTGTGCTCTTCGAGGGGAGAGTCCAGAGGGCGGCTTGCCCCTGCCCCCACGGGAGGACCCAGCAGAATGTGGCCGTCTGGGAACCAGGAAGCGGTCTCTTCAGACACCAGATGTGCTGGGGCCTTGATGTTGGGCGTCCAGCCTGCAGACTGTGAGAAAGAAGCTGATGTTCGGGCCGCCGGGTCGGCGGTGGTACAGTGTGGGAGCCTGTACAGTCTGAGGGTCCATTTGTGTCTGCGTCCTCCAGCCCCCATTACATGTGGGAGACCCACCCGCAGGTTGTGTGCGGTACCCTGCCGTCCGATGTGCCATAGTTCACGTCTTCTTACCCCGTGGTGGACAGCTGGCTCGTTTCCCATGACCAGCTGCCATGATGGGTGCACACACGTATGTGCACACCGAGTTCCGCTTCACCAGGAACGGCCAGACCGCTTTTCAGACGTCCCTCCTTGTGGTCATGCACGGTCCGGCGCTGTGCACCCTCAGCCCCTGCTGTTGTCTGCGGTTTGTCTTTTGCCCATCCTGGTGGGTGTGTGGATGTAGTGGGCGGTTGTGTTTCTCATCAGTTGTGCAGGGGTTCTTGAGATAATCCCGCTAGGAGTCCTTCGTGGGTTTGTTCTGTGAACATTGACTCTGTGGCTTGTTCTTCCCTCTCTTTAGAGTATTTTAAACAGAAGTTCTTAAGTTTTATTTTGTCCAATTTGACATTGTTTTCTTTTATGGGTAATACTTGCTGTGTCCTGTTTAAGGAATCTTTTCCTATTCCAAGGTCTATAAGATGTTCTATAGTCTCTTACATAGCTTATTTTGTTTTATCCTTGGCGTGTAGATCAGCACTCCACCTGGCCTGCGTTTCTGCCACAGTTGTGAGGGAGGGGTTGAGATTAATTTCCCCCCATGAGGTAGATGCTTCAGTTGTGGAGTTTCAACTTCTTTCCTTTTCTGATGCATGCGCCAACACTTGACTTTTCCTTTAGAAATACTTCAGCTGCAACTACATATTTTGATATATTTTCAGTATCTCCCAGATTCAGATATTCTCTGATTCCCATTATGATTTCTTCTGTTGTAGAAATTGTGGCGTAATTTCAAAAGGTGGGATTTTCTAGTTATTTTTTCTTATTAATCTCTAGCTGAATGTCCCTGTGGTCTGAGAACAACTGGAGTGATTTCATTCTCCTGAAATTTGCCAACTTGCATGTGTCAGCTGCGTTCATAAGTACTTGAGTGTGTCTCCTGTTGTTGGACACAGAGCTCTCAACACATCATTGAGGTCAAGTCTATCATCAGTTGTCTTGTTCAGACAGTTGGCCTTTGACTGATACTTTTGTCTGCTTGTTCTGTCAGCCGGACTTAGACTCTCTCAGTCGGCTCAGGCCGGGTGGCGGAAACAACGGTTGAGCTCTGGAGGCTGGGAAGACCAAGACCAAGGGGCCGGACAGTTTGGTTCCAGATGGCCGCCTTCTCCATGTGTCCAGGGAGAGGGAGCAGGGGCTTTCTGGTGTCTCTTCCTGAAAGGACATATCTGCCTGAATGAGAACTGCACCTCAGTGACCTCATTTAACCTTGCTACTTCCTTAAAGCCCTGATCTACAAATATAGTCACATTGGGGGTCAGGGCTTTGCTATGTACAGAATGTTGGTGCCCCTCCAAAACTCATATATTGAAATTTAATCCCCCCACTGTGATGGTATGAGGAGGTGGGGTCTTTGGGAGGTGATTAGGTCTTGAGGATGCAGCCTGCACGAGTGGGGTTAATGCCCTCATAAAAGAGACCCCAGAAAACACCCTTGTCCCTTCCTCCACATGAGCACACAGTGAGCAGCCCATGTGGGAACCAGGAAGCAGGTTTTCACCAGACATGAATGTGCCGGTACCTTGATGTTGGACTCCCAGCCTCCAGACTGAGAGAAATGAATTTCTGTTATTTATAAGCCCCCGAGTCTATGATCGTCTGTTATAGTGGCTGGAGCAGACAGGCCTCAACCTATGGATTTTGGAGGACACAATTCAGACCATAGCATCCTGCCTCCTGGCCCCCAAAATTCATGTACTTCTCGCATGCAAAATACATTCATTCCATCCCAACAGCCCCGAAGTCTTAACTCATCCCGGCACCTACTTCAAAGTCTACACCAGATCCTGGGGCAGAATCCCTCTCCTGTGGTGAGCTTCTAAAACGGTGGTGGGGCAGGCACAGTGCAGACATCTGCTCCAGAGGAGAACTTGGAAGAACAACAAGGTGGGAAACCCAGCAAGCAAAATCCACCAGCTCTTCAGGATCATTAACCTTGTTGGTCGGATGCCCACTGGGGATGGGCATTGGGGTAGCAACCCATCCTGCTGCTCTAGGGGGAAAGAGCTGTGGTGGGCATGGCAGCCCTGGGGCCCTTCCCTTTCCTGGCTGGCGGACTGTGATGTCGATCCCACGTTCTTCTGGCTTTTAACATTTGCTCTGCAGCTTTGGTCTTCAGCATTTTTATCACATTGTCTCTGTGTAAACTTTTTGAATAGCCTGGAGTTCATGAGCTTCTTGAATCTGTGGGTGGATATTACTCATCAGTCTTAGTACAATCGGGGGGTTTTTGCTTTACATGTTTCTGTCCTGTTTTCCCTCTTCTCTGCATTTGGTCCCAGTTACACATCTGCTAGCAAACTTCTTGCCACACCCCACATGACTCTACGGTCTTCTTTATTTTTCGTTCTTCTGGATGCTTTTGCTTCCATCTCATGCTGCCCTATCCTCTGTGTCTGATCCTGGGCTCTGGGGTGCTTCCTTGGCCATGGCCATGGGGAGCATGGGGGACACAGAGCCCCTGCTTGTTTTCAACACCTGGGAGACACCGAGCAGATGGTGCAGACGAACTGCCAGCCCGGAGGACAGGAGGAAGGGGAGGCAGCCCTGAGCCAGCAGGACAGAACTTCCTGCCAGAGTGCCAAGTGGGGGGTACAGCTCAGAGGAACTGCTGAGCTTACTGAGTTGTGTGTTGTCCTGGGTGTCTGTGGTCACGTGCTGAGGAAGCTGAGTGTCAGTGCGGCCCCTGGAGCAAACATGCAGTCGGGATGGCCGTGGACCTCGGAAAACCGAGTGGGGATGGGTGAGCCCACAGGGGATATAGGCTGTGCCTGGGTAATGTGGCGGGGGATGAGGAGTCACTTTGTAGGTATGGCCAGAACACATCTTCAGAGTGTGGAGATCTCCCAGGGGGAGAGGCTGAGGCTCCAGCCCTGTGAGGACATGCAGGAGGTGTGGGCCACGCCGGGGTCCGTGAAGCCCCATGGGGCCACTATTGTCTGGGCATGGGAGGTGAGCTTCTGCAGACTGTGAGGAGGGCCAGGCTTGGGGAGGAATGCAGGGAGAGGGTGAAGGCCCTAAGTAACAGGTGAGGCACCAGCAGGGAAGCAGCTCTCTCTTCAGCTGGCAGCGCCATGGCAGCATGGAATCCAGAGTCCTGCTCTCACCACCTACCCCTCACCACAGCCATGTCCTAAGTGGAGAGCTGTGGGTCTGAAGGGCAGCGGGAAATTGTCAACGGTGTCTCTCTGGCTGATCCTATGACTCAAGGTTCTTGTCCCAGCTGAAGATGCTAGAATGGGGGCAGGGCTCACCAGAAGCCCTCACCGTCCAGGGGCACAGAGCATGCGGCCCCTGTGCCAGGCAGGAGCCCAGGCTGGGCATAAGGGGGCTCTGTCTACCTGGCTCTCCCTTCTAATCCTAGGGCTCTCTCTCTGCAGCACATCTGGAGTCCAGCCAGGACTCTCTCTCTCTGTAACACATCTGGAGTCTAGCCAGGACTCTCTCTGCAACACATCTGGAGTCCAAGAGGGCTCTCTGCAGCACATCTGGAGTCCAGTCAGGGCTCTCTCTGCAGCACATCTGGACTCCAGCTGGGGCTCTCTCTGCAGCACATCTGGAGTCTAGCTGGAGTTCTCTCTGCAGCACATCTGGAGTCCATCTGGGGCTCTCTCTGCAGCGCA